TTCTGGATCATTTCCAAAATTTAATATGTCTTCCTTGTAACTTGGTTAACACTTCCAGAAAGAAGATCACTAGATCAGCTTATGAAATATCTTGTGTGAAGTGTGGAGTGTTTTTTCTTTAAATGGTCCTCACATCCACAACCAACTCTGGATCGTAAGCGAAATAGAAAAGAACATTCCTTTCAATATCGGTATCATCTGTGAAAATCTAAACCATGTATGTACACCTAAAACTGCAGGAAAGAGGTTGCTAGCTCCTCTCAGACCTCAATATGAAACATGGTTTATAAAGTATCATTCCATCCTGTAAATGGCGGGTCCTCTTCCTTGTTGGATGTGAATAATAATAAAAACAAACGTACAATCACTGAAACAAACACACACACACACACAAATGGAACGAAAATACTGTATAATTACTATTATAATAATAATAATAATAATAATAATAATAATAATAATAATAATATTAATAATAATAACAATAATAATAATAATAATAATAATAATAATAATAATAATAATAATATTATTATTATTATACTGGAAGAACATACTGTGCGTCCTGTTGAAATTCGCAGAGGTAAAATATTAATGACATACCGTACTGTAGGCCTTCTAGTGTGGAGAATACATAGGTAAATGTTTACTATCACTACCGTCCGCGGCACTGTCTGCCTTCTACCTGGCCCACGCTCCTTTTAAGTGTGTACTTACAATTACAGAGCCTTACAGCAGATAGATACCAAACACCAGTAAAAATGTTCGTAGGTGTCACAGAATAAGCTTGCACTTAATACTGAAATAATCTAATGAATGGTGTTACAAAACACTAACATTTGATGAACTAAAGATTTACCTCAATTCTATTAATCTCAATGACTCGCGCCGTGTTCGACCTTCAACCAAAACAAACCCAAACCATTCCCAAATCTACAATACAGAACATCATTTTGTTTTAGCAAAGTGACGTAGTACAATTGATAAACATCCAGGTAGGTGACGTCACTTCTAGATTAACAGCCAAGCTCATTATTCCACAGGGTACTTTCTATAATTATTCTAACATTTGTTATAATCACCGACGTACAATATAAAATAAACAAATACCAGTTTTGGTGAGAAATATATTAAACACGTGTTTATTATCATAAAAAAGTATATTAGGACTGTTTTAAATCACGTAAAATTTGATAACGAAATGATAGGTTTAAAGATATTTTTACAAGCCCAATATAACAGAGGGCGCTACGATAGGAAATCTAAACGAAACGAAAGTACAGAAGAAATCAAGCTGGTAGAGGCTTTACACAATGTCAACCGCGTGGATATGGATATGGATATTATTGGATGAACCCCAGTGGCGTAACGGCTATGCTCGAGCTCTCACTGGCTAAAGCCCGGAGCCTCAAAGGGGCCCTAGCACATTTGAATATTTTTTTACAAACAAATATCCAAGGCCCCTTTCCAAGCCTAAGTATGCCGAGTGATGGAGCATTTATTGTCATCACTATCGCATAATATATCGGTAAAAAAAACCATTTTATTATTAAAAAATAATAATACAATTATTATTGTATACTTATATAGCGCATATCAAACTTCTCTATGCGCTGAACATTATTACCCCGGATCACTGGATCAAGCACATATGGAACACACACTCAGGCCCCATAGGGGAATTCCATAATGTTGCAGCTGTATTCAGCGCAGGCTGTGTTTGAACCTACCAGATACCCACTTTTACTCCTGGGTGGAGAGAGACAACCGTAGATAAAGTGCCTTGCCCAAGGACACAAGCGACTTGCACAGCGAGAGTTTTGAACCCCCGACCTCGAGGTTGGGAGTCCAAACCACAACCGATGCGCCAACCACTTCTACATTAGACTTTATATTTGAAAAACACATTAAGACCAACAACCACGTGAAACAAGAAATTAAACCATGAGCAAAAGCATTGACACATGAGTTGAGTATGATCAGTGGCCTAAAATCTTACCTTGCCCCTCACTAGCCACGTGAAATTTAAGACGCTGACGCCCCCACTGAGTTATGATACATATATTTTGGTCTATAATTATTGATTGGCTCGTTTTGTTTGGTATTATTGTAATATGTATAATAGTGATAGGCCCTTATCTTAGTTAAAATTAAGTATGCTTTTATATATATATATATCTGTCTCTTATACACATCTAGATGTGTATAAGAGACAGGCATAAAGGTGAAGTGGGAGGACTCAATAGTTATTGGGATGCGGGGTATTAGATGGCAAAGTGCGTAAGTTATGGAGATGGTAACAATCAAAAATCGATTATAATAATAATTCTACATTTTTAGACAAAAAAATAAACCCTCTTGGCCCACGGCCCATTTTTCACACCATGACCATGCGTAATATTAACCTGCAGTGTATATATACGAAGAATTTTTTCTAGTAGGATCAGAGTTGACTAACTGGTACTTGGTGTGGTACTAGGTTTATCGCATTTATGGCTTAGGGGCCGCGGTTTACCTCCCTCCGTTTAGTCACGCTGGATCAAGGGTAGTAAACTCGGCGATCGTGGGTTCAATTCCCACAGGGGGAATTTTTTTTTTAATTTGTTTATTTATTTTTTAATTTTTTTTGTTTTGAAGGTCGTGGGTTCGATTCCCACACGAGCCAGTTTTTTTTTTTTTTTCCAATTTTTTTTTTAAGGCAGTTTAGTTGGTGGATAATGAATAGCAAATATGGAGGTTGTGTGTTCGATTCCCACACGAACCAATTTTTCTTTTTTCTTTAAGGCAGTTTAGTTGATGGTGGATAATGAATGTATTGTACTCGTTGATGACGTCACGAAATAACAACAAACAACAACGTGTCATGTCCGAGCCTAGGCCATCATGGAAGCTCATATATATATATAAATCCAATCCAATTATTTGGATGCAGTGGCGCCATTGGGGTTCGGCAGACAGAGGCAATGAATTAATCAGCGATTAACAATCCCAGTAACGTTTCCTGTCGAAGTGACGAGAATAAACACGAATTGCTGTTCTATCCTTGCCGGTACTGAAGATGGGGGGGGAAAAAAAAAAAAAAAAAAAAAAAAAAAAAAAGCCGAGAAAATAATTAAAAATTCCCGTTTTACCGACGGCAGTACCCGAAAGAATCACATGAAATTCGTCGGAGACAACAAGAACGTTACAAAAATTGTTCGCTCGGAAAACATTATAATTTGTCTACGAAACATTTCCTGACGTTTTCCCTGTGAATGGAATTGAAAAGCTTCGTTGGAAGTTCCCTAGTTCCTGGGTTCGATTCCTGTGACAGCAGAATTTTTCTTACGACTTAAACAACTTCACTCCATAGTCGCAGTAAGGGACTTGGTTAATAAAAAGATATATTGTCCCATGCTAAATACAAAAAAAAATCAGAAAAATATTTTTTGAAATTAACTTGACAATTTTGAACTAACATAAAAGTTGTCAAATTGAACACAGAAATTAATGTATTTAAAAAATGTCCACCCATCAGTTTACAGCGAAAAATGATAGAAACACTTCCAGTCACTAGAAGTGTTTTATTATTTTTATTATAATTTTTTTGTTTAAAAATCAGGGTACACATTTTTTTAAATGTAATAAATTAATAATTTGTATGCTATTGCAATTTGTTTATTTCAAAATTATTTTTTATGATTTTTTGACATTAGCAAGGGACAATACATCTTTAATGCATAGGTCTAACTGGGCCCTGGGGAACAGTATACTGAACCGGATAAATGGGAAAAAATGATAAATTAAAAAAGGTAAAATGTGAGTAAAATGTCTATATATTAGGCCCTGGATGGCGCCATGATTAATTGTCTGATAGTATGTACGATGTTCCCGACGGGAACGTATGTGGCCGTGGTCGGATCTCCTAATATGTAAGAACACATATGATTTGAATCGCCGTTTTTCTTCAGGACGGGGGAGCTCTCTCCGACGGGCCCCCTAAAGATCCCACAAACGCCACTCCTGTTTCTGACTTCTTCCTGTTGGTTGTGATTAAATCTGTGTTAAATTCCCTTACTTAAATACAAATAATGGTTTAATTCTTTGAAATTAGGTAGAATTTACTCCTCCATGTCTTTGATTGTGTTGATACTTATGTATTTCATCTCTCTATATTTCTTCATGCCAAGATAATTGATTGAAATATAAGCAGAGTCCAAATTAGGGGGAAAGGGCGCCCCCCCCCCCCACCATTTTTGTTTGGAAAGTGAAGAAAAAAGAAAAAGAAAGAAGAAAAAAATTGATAGCCCAAAAAGCCTCAGATGTTATTTCCGGGAGTCTACAAAACAAAAATTTCGCGGAGGCATGTCCCCGGACCCCATAGGGTCACCTTGATCGGTCCCACTTTCGGGTCCTATTTCAACCCCATTTCGGACATCTCTGGATCCCCCCATGAACATAGGCGTAGATCCCGGGGGATGGGAGGATATATCCCCCCAATATTTAACAAGGGGGGGGGGAGGGGATGGTTCATTGTATCATCCCTCCCCCAATATTTTGACTATGTATGGGATAAAATGGAGCATTACACACTTCAAAAGACTGTCACAGAAATAATTTGCACTGTCTTATGCGCTTACAAAGATGAAAATTAGCATAATGTATTAATGTTGATAACAAAATTATTTTATTTGGTACCAATCTAAGCTCTTCTTTCCATAGATGTTAGATGTACTTGCAAAGAGAGCCACATTTCATCACACTGAAGGGTGTGTACGACATCAGTAATGTTATGTCAATTCCAAGAATTTTTAAGGTTATATCGGTTGATGAGGAATTTATTTGTTAGGCCTATAATAGCAAATTGCATCAATTTATTTTGCAAAAACAAGGTTTCCAGCTTCAGAGGGGGGCACATCCCCTGTCCACACATGGGCACACATTGGCGCTAACATCAGGCGCGTAACAGGGGTCTTGGGTCAGAGTGGGTATTTATTTTTTTTATTTTTTATTTTAACCATCTTTAAAGAGGGTAACCCTTCTAGTTTAGCCCAGTAGGTTAACTGATATTCAGGGGCCCTCTTTAATAAAATTAAAGAACAGTACAAACAACATCATTACAACATAATAATAATAATAATAATAATAATAATAATAATAATAATTATTATTATTATTATTATTATTATTATTATTATTATTATTATTATTATTATTATTATTATTATTATTATTATTATTATTACCCCACCCCACTCCCCATATAGAAAATACGACATAGGGCTTATCTTATTTATAATATACACTGCTACAATTGCCTTCAATGGCCAATACCCGCCAAAATTACAAAGGCCCACACAAAAACACACAAATTTTGTTTTTACTATGACGTATTCATTGAAATAATGACGTAGATTTTCAATTGTGACGTTATTACGACTCACTTGACGTCTTTGATTAAACTGTTGTTTTCATTTCAGCAGAGATGAGCCTATCCGTATTTTTACTATACTCTATAAAACATAAAAAATAGGAGTGGACACTCAGAAGCGGATCCAGCAGCCCGGTAAGAAATTCCTGTGTTGTTAAGCTCACTGTTAAATGACGGTATTATTTACTCATTTGTGGGATTTAATAATCATTTTTATTCGGAAGTTAGGCCTACATAAATGTCCCGCTATAGTACCCAGCTAAACCATGATAGACCCACATTGTTTTCTGATTTTACAAAGTTGAATATTTATCTATGAAACAACTGTTTCTTTTTTAATTGAGCTGTGGTTGGTTGTTTGAAATTTCCGTAGGCCTACAAAATCGTACACTAGAGATTGCTCAACATTTTACTGTAATAGGACAATTTCCACCATGAATTTTTATTGACGACTCTACAATTGCAGAATAGTCGAAATTAAATAGACTTACGTCATAACAAGCGTGTTTCCGCATCGCCGATCCACGCAACTATTGTGACAATATGACCGCAAAAGGTTTTC